AGGGGCAGAAGCACGTGGACATTCTTTGTTTCTCCCCTTAACTGCATACATTGCAATTTTGCCCCCTTGTGACACTTTGCCTGTCTGCTCCCTAGCTGAGGTCCCCTGTGCCCTTCTCATTCTTCTTGTTTCTCCCCAAACAGGCCCTTACTGAAAGGCTCCACATACAGTGTCCTCTCAGGGCCTGTGGTTTCCTAACTACTGATTTCTCTGAGATCCTCTCTCTGAAAATATTTCTCCTCTTTTCTTTTCCATGCTCACTATCTCAGTGGATATGTCCTCACTATCTGAACTCAGCCTGGAGCTTGCAAAAGGGGACAAGCACTGCTATGGCTTGAATAATGTCCCTTCCAAAACTCAGGTGTTGCCAATGTGATGGTGTCAGGAGGTAGGGCCTTTAACAGGGGATTAGGCATAAGGGCTCCTCCCTGGGGAATGGGATTAAGGCGTCAGCAGTGTCATGTCTCTTGCTCTAGTGGGGGACTCAGCCTCCTTCCATGTAAGGACACAGCATCCCCCCAGGTGGGAGGGCTCTACCAACCAGATCTTCTGGTGCCTTGATCCTGACTCCTCAGGTCCCATGAATGTGGATGTTAAATAAAGACAGGTGTGCCATTCCATGAGCCCCATTTGGGAAGTAGCTTTACTCTGTGAGACTGGGCACCTCAACAGTAGCCATTCTTGGGTTGAGGAGCCCCCAAATATGGGTGATACAAATTCCTGTGTGAAGGTCACTGATGGGCTCCTGTGCCCACGGCAATGAGACTTAGCCCTGGGCAAAGTCCCACAAGGTTCAGGATGGGAGGAGTCTGACCCATGGATACATGGGGCCTGTTCAACCTGGTCCTGCTGAATCCCCACAGCAGAAGCGTTGCAGAAGCTACATCATCTTCCCCACCCACCCCAGTCTACAAAGCCCTGCACCTGTGAAAGGTCGTGGGTACCATGGTTACCTTTCCATTTTAAAGATGAGAAAACTGCATTTTCAAAGCATGAAATTGGTAAACACAAGGTCTGGAAAGTTCTTCAGTGTTGGAGCCAGTACTAGGTCCAGGCCTCTCGTCTCCCTGCCCAACGGTTTTCCCAGATCCAAGCTCCCCTCTCAGGGAAGTGAATCTTCCACATTAACAAGGCACATGAAACACCTGGTTCAAGCACTAAATTGGCCAAGTGTCAGAAGCTTGGCCCTCGACAACTGATGTCACTTCTCTAAATTCGGTTTCCTCATCTGTAAAGTGGGGCAATATTTCTGCCTCATTAGAAAATATTCCTAAAGTGTCTGTTCCCCTTCATGTTGCTCTTGAGCCCTCTCCTTGTCCCCCTTCCCAGGTCAGCTTCCTGGCTTCTGCACCCCCCAGTAGTCCCTGCACAGCCACATCTGCCATGCTGAGCCACATGAAGGTCAGCCAGCGCCAGGAAGCACCTCCCCTCCACACTGGCCCCAGCGAGAGGACTGAGGCCTGTGGCTGCAGCTCAGCACGCACACACTGCTGCCTCCACTGGTCTTCTAGCTGCCAGGAGACCTTCCCCAGCTATGAGCCACGGACTCCCCCCCCACCCCCGGGGGACAGGGAACACTGTCCTGCACAGGAGCCTCACAGTCTGCTTTCACAAGGTCTTTTCATCTCAGTCTTGTCCACTGTCCTAACTCCATTTCCTTTTAAACCTGGAGCAGCCCCCAGGGGTGAAGATAATGCTCTGCTTTATGCATATGCCCCATTCCCACCCAGGGATCCTGCACAACCTCAGTGTTAGTGACACTCACACCCCAGCCACATCAGAGACACCATTCTGCTGGGCTCTCTTGACTTCTGGAGCAGGTCATTTGTAGAGAAGTGGAAGACCAGCCACGCAGACTTCCTGAGTGGTTCTCTTCTCTACAGTCTCAGCATCTCTCACTATGATTGTGGGTGGTCAGACCTAACCCAATACCACCTCTCTCCACCCACGGGCCTCAGGCAACAGCTACTCTCCCTCAGGAAACACTGTGGCTCTGCAGACTTCAATCTACAGCCCCTAGAACATGCCCACAGTCTACTGGGGTTCCTCCTGATTGGGTCCCTCCTAATGCATCACCTACACTCAAGAACAAGACCAGCAGCTCATCTCAACCACCTATGCAACATTTAGCAGATACGCACTGAGGAACCAGTGCCTTCAATAGCCCACCAGGGGCTGTTCATTGGAGGGAAAAACACTTATGGGAGTCCATACCATCCCCTGTGGACCTCAGAAGTGCCCCCAACATCCTGCACCCTGCCCACCTGCTCCCCTACCTGAGGTCCAAATGCAGGGTCTATTGCTCACCCCAGTCTCCACTTTGCCTCTGAAGACGTGGAAGTATAACATGTGCTCAAGAAAACACAGCAGTAAAGCTATATAGACTGGGCAGGTTTCCTATTCAGCAAATATTTGCTAAGCACATCTGCGCCTTAATACTAGCTGGGCCATTCTATCTGATCCCGATCACCATTTGCTGCAGTCAGGGCCTGAGGCGACTGCCTGGCAACACAACCTTATATCACCTCCTCTGACAGACACCTAGCCCACCTGCCTAATGTGAGGGTGCCTGAGGGCAGGCCCAAGATGGTACAGTTAGGCTCCCTCACTGAGTTCTCTGGCCAGCCATTTTCAGTATGCAGCCAAGCACCCTGACATCAGCACCTTGACATAAGGAGCTTGACATCAGCACCTTGACTCAGCAAATGTACTCAAGGTCATGGACACCTTCTTACAAGCATGTGCTCCTGTGTAACCTATCAACCATGAGCCTTTCCTTTGGCGTGAATATTTTTAAAGGCCTATGAGAAGACAGGGAGCTGGGGGCAGCTGCTGCCTCCAAATAAATCACATCTACTGTGCCAGATGCGCCTCAAAAATTCTTCCACCTGCTGGGACCCTGAGTCTGTTTCCCAGGGTCCAAGCCTCAGCCTTACAGTGGTCCACCTGCTTAAGACCCACAACAAAAGTGAGACAGAGGAAAGAAACAACAACTCGAATTAGTGAGACTAGTGAGACCCAAAAATAAGTATGAGGTAAGAGTTACAAACCACAGGGCACCTCGATCCATCCCTGCCCCCACCTGTCTCTCGGGTGTGAGCTCCTTCTGCCCACTGGGTACTGATGTGCAGGTAACCATTTGGCAGCTGGCTTTTCTGGAGGGAAAAAAATGGTTTCTGGTGTTTTCCAATTTCTGTGGGACTCATACCCCAACCATGGCTGATTTTAAACTACCAACATCATGACCCTGAACATAGAATTGGGAAAAGATGCACAAAACCGGCTCACAAATCACACCAACTGTCTCCAGCACTCACAGCCAGGAAGGGAGGCTCATGTTTCAATACATAGGACACATTTTGCACACAGCATGTCCCCTGGACACCAGCCAAATATCTCATGGAAGCAAGGGGTCGGGGAGAGACAGTGTGCTCCAAAGAGGGAGGAAAACTTGCTGAGAGATAGAATGTTGCTCTCCAATATGGCAGCACCCTAAGGTGTTCATGAGAATGATTTTCATTGCATTGGATTTCCACCTTGAAATCTAACTCTTCCCTGCAGTAACCATAGATGAGGGTTAGTTACTGCCCACTCTCCCTCAGCCTTCACTAAGCAATAACCAGGCTCATGCGAGGTCCCCACAGTCTATCTCCCCACAGGAAAGCACAGGTGACATTTCCTTTGGGACCTCAGCATGCCTGGGAGGCCTGCCTTGGGATCCTGATAAACATTGATTCTATTCCTGCTCCTACCACCAAACTGGGTAATGGCTTGCTGGTCCTCAGTGGCCTCCTCTGCGAGCTGAGGTCAGACCTCATTTTCAGGTCTGCTGAACTGGACTAAATAGATATGGTGGAAAAGCAGAAGCACAGTACAATACAGAACAGTGCTCTGCCTCCTCGAGACCCAGGTAAGACTCCTCACAGGACTGGGCCCAAAGGCAAAGTGCAATGTCTTTCACCTCGATTTCCAGAGTGGACTCGCCAGACATGTGGTTTACCTCTCAAATTTATTTCTTTGCCATTGACAACAAAAGATGAGACAGAGGAAAAAATAACAACTCAAACTGTGAAATGATTCTACTACTTCCCCTCCTTCCAGTCCCAGGGACAGACAGAGATTGAGCCAAAGTCAGGCAATTTCACGATCTAGTGGCTACACTAGAATTGCCCAAAAGGAATAGCCATGTTAGACCCTATTTAAAAAAAAATAAAATAAAATAAAAAGAGTTGGGGGATGTGTCTCAGCAGTAAAGTGCTCCTGGGATAAATCCCCAATACCCTAAAGAAGAAAGACATCAAGAGTATCTACTGCCTTTCACATTGTTCTTGACCCTACAGTCCCCATTTCCCACATTCTGATAAATGAGACCTTTCTACACTAAAATACTGTTAGACCAGGATGCAAGAAAAGACCACTGACTCCAATTAAAATCAAATTAAAGCAAGCTTATTATTTCAACCAGCCAGACTGTCTCTCCCTCCCAAAACGGCGGGAACAAGACAGCCCCCAGCTTTCCTGTAGCTCAGCTTTATAGCCCAGAAAGTTACACAAAGGGGGGTCATAGATAACAGAACTCTGACAAGCATCACACTAATGGTAGTTTACATTTTTTGCTGGCCCAAACATCAGAATTTATGAGGATCATTAGAGCCTCAGAAAGGGTCATTGTCTGGCCAGGGAAGACCAAGATTTGTGAGGCATCACTAAGGTTTCAGAGATGGCTGCTATCTGGTCAGAGAGCCAGGCATGGGTGAGTTCAAAGCATGGACAGGCATTCCAAGCAGGTTCAGAATTTGCAGTAATTTATAGTAAAGCCAAAATTAGCTTTTCATGGCTTTGTGGCAAGATGGCTCCCAGTTTTAAGAAAAGATCAGGCTGGGTCTATCATTCCCCCATTTTCTTATGTGTCCCTTTTAAATCTTTGATTGGGTAGGGGAAGAGCACTGAGGGAATTTGAATCCTCAGGTAACAGTCTCCAACATTTTTTTTTAACTCACCCATAACCGGTCTCCCTGATTTGATCTGACTTAATTGATTACTTATATTGACAGTCTATTTATTTTTGGCTCCATTGTTGTAAGAAGGGGGGCATCACTCATTTTGGCTTTCTCTGAGCTGAGAGAGGGCGATGTGAGGGGGCACAGCGTGAGGGACATGAGTTTCCCTTTAGTTGGGTTTGAAGTCTGGTTGGTGAAGAACAGGTTGTAAAGTCATCTGGGGATGGGTGCTTCTATGAGAGAAACAAAAAACATGAGTATTGAATCAATGTTGCAGCATCTGGAACATGTCATTGTATAGAAGTTCCCTAACCAGGCTTTAACATCTCCAGTTATCAGGAATGTAAGCATAACATTTAACTTTTAGTGTTACAGATGTCCCTCCCCATAAGATACAGCTTAATAATTTAATGTCATCTGATCTTGCAAAATCCTTTTACTAGTATGATCTCTGTGTCTAATAGAGAAACCTTTAATTCTGTTACTCAGGGCTGGATAATCATACTAGCAAACACCAAGCCTACCTGTGTAGGTTAGGAATATCTGTAGGCCATAAACTAAAAACTTCTGTCTCTGGAAGCTCCTCTTGATAGTTCTTTTTATAGTTATCTGGCATTTCTGTCTGAGAATCCTTCTTTGTAGCCTACAGTCTTACTTATTTTGGGGGTCTAACTTAAAGTGTATACCTTAAAATATTATTATTATTATTATTATTATTATTATTACTATTACTACTATTATTATTATCATTATTATTTAAAATGCCCAGGAATGGCTGTGTTTTGGTTTTAACTGTCTTTGCTAAGTGTTTAAGATGAAGCAAACTGACTTTTGTTTCTATCTATTATTAACAGTCAACCAAGCTTTTATGGGAGTCATTCCTGGGGAAACTTGAGAGCAAATTCTCAGTTCTGCTAGTGCCATTTGCGCTAGGATGGGTCCAGGTCTTGCTTGACCATGTGGCTTCTCTCAGATGCATCAGGGATATCTCCCTTCTCTGATGACTCTCCTCTTCATAGCAAATGCACTGATTGGCTTTTCATTCTCCAGTGGTCTCATTAATCTCCCTGATCGGGAGGTTATGTGGCCCAGAGTTGCAAAGCTCTTTAGAGAAGTCCCCTGTTCCCTGGATTCAGAGTGACTCAGAGGGCAAGAGCCAAATATTGCTTTTTCTGGCCCTTTTAATTTAACTTTAATTTTAAAACTTAAATATCCAGCAAATAAATTTTAACAGCCTTATATTAAGAGTACTGGAATTTAATGTCTATAACTTTACAATTATTTATCTTTTTATTAATTGAGAACTGTATTATCCTATCTGTCTTGTAGGTAATGTCTTATTATCTTAAATTAACCCAGGTTGTGCTCTTAAAGCAACACTTCTGTAAAACACTAACAGGGAATCTTTAGATCACTTTATAAAAAAATTACAAAATAAAATTAACAAGAGTAAAAACATTTAGTTCGTGTAATAGCTACCCTGAATTTTGGCTGAGTTATACATTATATCCCCTGTTTGAGATCCTAGTAATCTTGACAGAAAAAAAACAACTTTTGAACATAACTTTAAATGAACTAAAATCTGGCCTACTGCTTTCATAGTCATTCTCACATGTAGTAAGATGGGACACAGAGCCTTATCTCAGGTAAGGCAGGGCTCTGTATAAATCTTAAGTGTTCTAGTTCTAAAGCTGATCTTTGCTTTTTAAATATCATTTTACAAAGTTTACATAAATTGTTTGAGGTCACATGAACATTAGCTAACACCATATGATATCACATTTAAAACATGAATTAAAGAAAGGCTGAAAGGTTTTAACCTATACATAGATTAGGCTCTCATTAACTTAAAAATACATTTCAATTGTTCCCCAATTGTGAGAGACCAACCTTACAGGTGACTGAGTTACACTCCCCAGCTGGATGCTGAGGCACTGAGTCACAGAAATGGGTGTGTCTTGCTACAGCCCCATGGATGAAGCTATGCTCACCTATTCCTTTGTAATATAACCCCTTGCCCTGTTTAGGGTAGAATCTTCCATGGAAGTGCCTTGTGTGTATCCCCTCCTCTTACTGTGCCCTTGGGTGTGGCCTACCCAGGTGTCAGTCAACCTGCTGACAGTGGACATCATGAAGATACTCAGCCCCCTGAAACCTGACCCCTTGCCTCATTTGAATAGTTTCTCCTCAATAAAAGGGGTCAGCACGTGCTCTCGCGCCCTCTCTCTCTTTCTTCGGACCCTTAAGGTCAGAGGAGCCATCACAGCAACCCCAAAGAAAAAGGTATTTGTGTCTCTTGTGTGTTTATTTCATGCATCCCAGTAAGCCCAGTTTAACTAGAGGGACCTCTGAGCCTTTTAGTCGCGAGAACAGAAACCCGGCACCCAATGTAAAAAGTAACATAAAACTTTACATATCTTATTGATAACAGGTAAATAAATCCCCAATATATTTTTTTTACCAAACAACTTTAGAACACCAGCTTGATATAATGCTCTTTAAAGTTTCTACCTTATAGACTTGTATACCTGGAAGATATGAGCACATTAATAGTATCACAATTACATTGATGTTTTTATATTAACCAAGCTTAGCTTTTAAAGAAATGACAGTACAATGCTCTAAAATAACAGTTCTTATTTAACAAGTTGTTTAATTTTTATTGTTGCTTGCTCTAGAAAATAATAAAACTTAATAAACACAATGTTATGAGTAAACTTATGTTTTAAGAAATTTTTTCTTTTTAATATATGACTGATTGTAAAAACAAACTTATACAAACTTATAGTAAATCAATCAGATATCTAACAAAAGTACTCATGAATGAGTAATCCCATATCAAATTTACTTTACTTATTTATCAAAATATTAGACAAATGTATTGAACAATGTTAACCATTTTTTCTTGTTGAAAAGAAAAGTTCTAGAACCAAGACATATTAGACATTTTATAG